AAAATTAAGAGTAAGAGGAGCAAAGGCCTAAAACAAAACCATGACGTCTGACTTAGATGACTGCATCACATTTTAACCCGAAAATAAAAAAGGTAGGCCACATACGACACTGATGAACAAGTTGTTGTCCCTTTCTTTCAACCTTAATCAGAAAGAAATCCAAAACGAGTAAAATACTATTATAGACCCATCTTTTATCTCAACAGCCCTCTCAGGTACTGACCATACTGTGTCGTACGTATGCAAAGTTCATATTACATAAACAGTGGAGTAAAATAAAAAGCAAATACTGTCTGTAGTATATTTTCATTCAACATACTTAAAAAAAAACTAGGCGTTGTTATATAAGCCTGAGAATTTCATAATGGTCTATTTAAATTGTCAATGAAACGTTAAATCTAAGCGACACAATCATTTTCTTTTAAATGTAATTAGCCAAATTGCACAATCTGTGACTGAAGTACTGCTGTGTATGATAACAGATAGTTTTGGTTCAAGAATTTGAATTGAAGATATCTTGTTTAAAGCTAAAGCACAAGTCTTTAAACTAATCTTTAGCCTAATCTTGGTCATGACCAAGATTAGGAACTTCAAGGAAAGTTCATTTGGTTGGAAAAGGTAGTTAGCAAAGTCTGGCCAAATTAATAATAACAATCCAATTTTATCTTTCCCCCTAATATTGTGGAGCCTTATTGGTTACTGAACAAATGAATTAAACTTCGCAAGTTTTGGAACTGGAACACCACTAGATAGGGAATGATGTCATTACCAGATCCAAGTCTGGATGTAGAACGACTCATTTAATAAATTAAAAACTGTTCAGCATTATTCTGCAAAACATTATCTGTGTGCTTTACAGACATACTTATAGGTTCTGTTGTCCACACCATGATGTCATATCAAACTTTGATATATTAAAATCTACGTATTTGCTTGGTTAAACGTAGTTCTTGATAGTACACAACACTGTTCTGCTACCAAGTCATATCTGAGCAAAGCAGCGACTCTAAGATGGCCACCACAGCCTCATCACTTTTCCCCATTATGATTATCTAGCAGGACCCCTTCTGCGAGCTTCCACGACCTCTGGCTGACCTCTCTCCCCCTGTAGACACAACACTTACCATTCGCTTCTTCACCTGCAGATATGTCTGAAGAACAGCTCCCACTTCAAAGCTGTGCACTGATTGAACCATGATTACAATAGGCACTTGACTCGTTCATGTCCTCTAGAAACTAAACTTTCAGGGGATCAGGCATGAAGGCATGGAGTTCTTTTTAAAAGGAAACGGTGGATGGAGCGTCATTTGCAGGTTCTTTTCAAGTTATTTAGTTTCATGATGTAAATGAATAAAAGGGAGCTGCTTATTTCCCAATTCCAACAATGCAGATTTGGCGGTGTCAGACCACGTGTTTGTAGGGATGACACGGAGTTGTGCGAGTTCTGTTCTGATCAAGCGTTAATTCGTACCCACCAGGTAATGGTTTAGTAGCTGTTTCAACAATTTGAATTAATTTTCTATAACCTAGTAGTAAAAAAAAAATAATGATAATTAGACTCTAATAAACAATATCAGCTGGACTTATCTTGGTGAGCTTAGGGCCCCTATTTTTTTAAAGGCTCTAATGGCCTTTATTTGATAGTTAATTGACAGGAAAGTTGGGGAAAGACATGTGGCAAAGGTTGCCAGGCAGGGAATCGAACCTGCGACAGTTGCATCGCGGACTTGTGCTTAACCCCTGTGCCACCATAGCACACCCAGGGCCCCTAATTTGTCATATTTTCTAAGAATTGTTTTCAGATGAAACGGTGCAATGCAAAGTTTTTAGATTATATCATACAATTTCAGTGGATGTAAAATGTCTACATGTAAGTTATGATGCCAGATTTCAACAAATTAAAATAAAGTAGACCAACAGAAATAATTTAGGAAACTTTTATTTCACCATTAATGCAACCTAAAACCTCATGGCCTATGTCCTTTTAATAATAATAATAATAATAATAATAATAATAATAATAATAATAATAATAATAATAATTGTTTGTACTTATATTTTAAAATAACAGATTGAAAAAAAGTGGATAGATAACTGAGTACAGCCTTTTTTAAAAAGAAGTGGCTATGCTCAGTACAACCCAACTCATTCAAACTCATGTTAAATAGGAGTCAGTAGAAACTTGCCATAATTTAAGGCAAATAAAGCTTAAATTTTGGTCGCAGGGACTGGCGACCATTGCAGGTCGCCAGTCCCTGCAATAGACTGGCGACCCATCCAGGGTTCAACCTGCCTCTCACCCGAAATGTCTCGCTGGAGAGAGGCACCAGCACTCGTCCCGACCCCACTGGGGACGAGGGCGTAAGAAAATGGAAGGATGGATGTTGCAACAGGCGTGTCCTGTCTCTACTTAGTAGCACAGCCATGGTCCTGAGAGAGCTTCCAAATTATCAGAGGGATCTCACTGTCAAAAGGTAAGAAGAAAGAGCACCAAAAGATTTCCAAGTGAAGAAAATGTACTTGTTTGTTTGACAGTTTTTATCTTGACTATTTCTACTATTCTTAATAGAATGTCGATTTATTGTATGCATTTGTTTTGCTTGGTCAGCCCTTTGATTGTCACTTGAAAAGTGCTATATAAATAAAGCCGAATTGGACAGTGCTATTAACGGCAATGGGACGTTAACCTAAACATGATGAAAATGAGAATGAAACTGCTCAGGGAACCTGGTAAGAGGCTTACGGCAATATTAAGAGCTGGCGAAATTACTGACGAGTACTGGCTCTGTAGTACATGTGACAACAAATATTTTACATTTTTACTAAGTCTGGGCTCCAGGGTCTTTGTTGATCTCCCGAAAGCATTTAATAAGGTCATGTCTTATTACATCAAGGCGGTCCCAAACTTTTAGGACACAATTCTAAAAGGTAGAATGTGGCAGCATCATGCTTTGAAGCCGTTTTTTTTTTTTTTTTTCTCCTGTTTTTTTTGCCTGTTTTAAAAAGCTGAAAGACAAAGAGGAACCGTATCATTCAGCACAAATAACAATGACCACAAGCACACATCCTGATCAATTTTTCTTAACTCGAAGAAGTTTCAAGTTATGGAACAGACCAGTCATTGTCCAGAGCTGAATCTCACTGAACGGTTTTGGAGTGATTTGAAACGCGCTTTGGGCAGGAGATCAGTTTGGGGATTTTTGTGGGAATGTTTTGCAATGAAATGTTGATGAATAATACTAAGATGTGCTATGCAGGCAGACTTCGATGCAAAAGGACTGAGTTCTGTAAACAATACTTCAAGAAAGTATTAACTGAAGTGTGAGAAAATATTTATGAAAGCGTATAGATTTAGGTTGTTTTGTTTTTCTTCTAAAAGATTTCAGTTGTTTTTTTGTTTATTTTTTTAGTAAAGTCGTAGAGACTATAAGTCACAATAAAGAATGAAAATTAAGAGACAATGTATCCTGGTCTCATATTTTACCCGCACTAGAATAAAATGACAAGTTGGACATGAATATCTATGAATATTTAGCTCCATTATACTTAATACATGTTAATCTTCTGGGACAGACGGATGCACAGTGTTTTAAGTATCTGGAGTCAAAATTTGTTTGTTTCTGATACAAAATGAGTCAGAAAAAAAACAAACTGACAACACTTTGGTTGGAATTAAGTAATTTAAGTGACGCACAGGTGGACTGACCCAGAGCAAGTGTCATTTTAATAACACAGTCAATTCTTTTGAAATTATCTGATGGAAGGGTTCTCTCCGCTCGGGTATTTGATGTACGTGGTGGACACAGATGTGACAAGGGCCTGTCATTTTGGATCAGTCCAGGAACGATTTGATAAAGCAGCACTGCCTCAGAGACATGAAAGCCCGACCAGGTTCAACAACGACAACGACAACAACAACGATAGTCGTCTCTGGCTCTGCTCAATGCCAGAGACCGAAAACAGAATTCACTGTGGCAACTGATCAGGTGCCAGGCGCCCTGTCCCCAGTGCCACGCTGCACCCAAAGCCTCCACAGAGCTGACGTCGGCCTGGCTCGGCCCGGCAGCCACGGGGCCTGCTTTAGTAGCTCTACCTTCCAACTATCTGAGCTACCTGCTGTCAGCCGCCTGTCTTACGAACCAGACCGAAGCGGTCAGACATGACGGGAAGGTGTTGTAGAGTTGAGATGACCTGATGTTAAAAAAAAATTCAAATAAAAAAAAAAATCATCATCATCATCCTTTAATTGAGGTAGGAGAAATGTGAAGCGGCTCAGTGTTATTATGTAGGTCTTTGTCAGGGAACATGAGTAGGGTTTAAAAATACCACAGCAGTGAATCAGTGGCCTCACTATCTTCACAGGCAGGCATCGGTAGATATTGTGAACAAGACCTACAGTGATGTAAAAGCAGACAGAGGTGTTCTTCCTGCATTCCATAATGTGCATCTTAAAGTGGGACTTGATGCTTTTCTTCACCATCAACACGTAGAGCCATCTGGCCTAAATAAACACTGATTTTTAATAGCCAATATCTGCAAATATCAAACATGGTAACAATAATAAATCTATGGGTGCACACCTCAAAATTAGAAATTTTAATGACCAGCTAACATCACACAATCCACCCCATTAGCCTCATAATTAGGCTATAGTACATCGCTACTATATGGTTCTACATGACAAAGGTCTGTGACTAAGCATGCAGATGCGTGTTTGTACGGCGTTTTACTCCCATCAGCCCGGCTGAAGTCTTATCCCGAAGAGCCGATGAGGTTTTTAGGGGGCCTCAATGTGTCTGCCTTCGAGCTAAAATAAAGCCAAGCGCACGGAACCTGAAGTTGATTTCATCGAAGCACGTACTCGCATAAAGACAGGTGCACCTGTCTGCAGTGTGCAGCCTTTTGTTTTTAACAGCAAATGAGCCACGGATCGTCTAGTCGTGCGCATAACGTGGGGATTTTGTGATAGAACAAATGGAAATCGGCTCAAGCCGTCTTACCGTTGCCTTTTCAGTCATTGCTCCCCATCATTACGTTTTCGGCCCAGACCTCTGACGAGCCGTTTATTCCAATCAGGCTGTCTCACTCACTCTCTCACTCCCTCCCTGCCTGTCTGCCTCCCTGCCTCTCTCTCTCTCTCTCTCTCTCTCTCTCGCTCATCCCCATGTCATGTTTCTCCGCTGCAGCAGAACCAAGCCGCGCCTCCTCCGCAAGCGCCGTGACGTCCGCGAGTGACCCCGGCGGCACCTCCAAGGGGGCTCCGCCAGGTGTCGCTGTCTTTGAACAAAAAAAATAATAAACAAGTCAGTGCATTGAAGTTTTTTTTGTTTTGTTTTGTCTTAAATTTGCACTTTTGGTTTTTTTAATGTAAAAAAAAAAAAAAAAAAAAAAAAAAAAAAAAAAAAAAAAAAAAAAAAAAAAAAAAATATTTTTAAATATTTTAAAAAAACCCAAAAAAAAAATAAAT